ATTTGGTCTAAAAGTTTATTAAATTATATTGAAATTCCGTTCAAATTTGGATATAGCTCCCAAACACGCTATAAATCTCTGATTGGACTTATATTGGCCATTTGGGTGCACAATTAACCCGGAATTGGTTGAATCTATATGGGAGCTATATCTAAATCTGATCCAATTTCAATTGGAGTTCGTCCTTGGGCCAAACAACTATTGTTTGCAAAATTTCATCTCAATCGGATATAAATGCGACCTGCATTTGGTTCACAAGAATACATGGACGGACGGACGGACTGACATGCATAAATCGACTCAGAAAGTGATTTATGAAGATCCTCAACAGCAATTATAGATCTATCTCGCTTCCTTCTTCCTGTTACAAACAAATGCACAAAGACGTAATACCCCTTACCACTATGTGGGGTAGAGTATAAAAAGTACACAACAATATAATTGAGATTACGATTACTACGGGAAAGTATTTGGGATCATATGTATTGGTACCTCGAATCAAAAAAAAATGCCGTTCAACTTTAAAAGATTGCAGTTTCCAGAACAGTGTTGGCTTTGTTTTGTTCGGGATGCCATAGTATTTTGTTGTTGCAAAATAGTCAGGCTTAATCCCTTAATCCTTAATTGCAGTGTCCCTGTAGATTTGACATTCCTATGATAATTATTAAATCCCACACGGTGTACACGGACTAAATTTAGCAAAATTAATGTTATGAAGATGGGATATATCGGGTCATTTCTTGTGGTCCCTCCCCCACAAAGGGTTAAAATTTTGAATGGCCATAAAGTTCGTTAAAAGCGAAATGACCATCTGATTCCTTTTAAACTCAGCACATCTCAATATTTCTATCAACACAAGATCTGTTGTGAAGCTGGAATTTGTCGGATTCATTCCTTCTGGTACGGTTCAACTTTTTGAAGAATTATAACTCTCTTAAAATGCAAAATAATTATCCGATTATCTTCAATGTTCACATATTTCAATATTCTACTAATACAAGATGTAGGATGAAGATGGTAGATATTGATTCAAACTTTCTGGTAACCTCCCCCGCAACGGTTCAACGTTTTGTATAATTATATATAAATGAGCATCCGATTATTTTCAAACAGCTGGTAGCTCTTCCGTACCTTTTATTTTCCCATGATGATACCCTACACCACTATGCATATTTACTACACCTTTTTCAAATTACATATGGAATACGTCGAGTTACAATTGAAATTCACCGTTTTTAACTGAAATAGTTCGAATTACAATTGAAATTTTCGAATTACAATTCGAATGATTAGAATTACAAATAGAATTCAAATTCAATTAAAAGTTTCGAATTTCATACGTCCTATTTTGACTCAGTGCGGATGAAAATATATACCAGAACTATATCAAAATCAAATCATTGCTATGAAATGCATATTGGGCTTGGACAGCTTAAATTAGATGGAATACATACATATATAAATGCAACAACTATGTCTCAACGATATCCCCCAAATTCTACGTATTTCCTCATACCCAACGCCACACTGTGGTACAGGGTATTATTAGCCTGTTCAGCAAACTTATTTGTATTCCAAGTGCAAGACAAATGGCAGACAAATTGAATTTTCGGTTTTCGGTAAACATAATTGTGGCCTGTAGCGTGATTACAAATAAAAATATAGAGACGGACACATAGCTAAATCGACCCAGCTCGGCGAGATAGGTAGATAGATACATAAAATCGTGGTCTACAACCATATTTAATTTTTAATGGCATCACGTAACCTTTGGCGGATTAGATTGATATTTCCGCTTCCCGATTTTCCACTTTTTATAAATGAAAAATCCAAACATAGTCCCAAAAAAGTTCATAATCCCCCAAATAAAGTAAACAGTGCCTTCTGACATTCGGTGTTGTGACGATTTAAGCAACAATATTTAACGGAATTGTTCAAATTTGAAATAAATCAACTACAGCTCAGAAATACCTTTGCAAAAGATCGTTCAGATTGGATATGGCTCCCGTATATAACTTCGTCCGATTTACTTTTTATTGTGCACCAAACGCTAATATTTGCCCAAATCGTATGAAATTTGGCACTTACGACCGAATGAAGTTAGTATGTCCAATTTGGTGAAGATCGGTTCAGATATAGCTACAGCTTCCATATATATTGTTCATCCGAATTGTTATATTTGTTACCCACTGTCGTAATTTGCACTCCGTAACAACGATATTCAGGGAAATATATCAAATACAGCTCAGAAATATCTTTGCCCAATTTTATCGAGATCGGTTTAGATTTGGATATAGCTCCGATTTGTTTGTAACATGGAGAAGGAAACGAGATACACCCATAGTTCCTTTTGGTGATCAGCATAGAAACACAATTTTGAGTCGATTTATGAATGTCCGTCCGTCAGTCCGTCCGTCCAAGTATTTTTGTAAACACATTTATTATTCGATTGAGATGAAATTTTCTAAATAATATTTGTTTGACTCAAGGATATTGAAATTAGTGAAAATCGGTTCAAATTTAGATATATCTTCATCCGATTTTAGGTTTCTTGTGCACCAAATGGCTAATGTCAGTCCAAATGGTGTGAATTTTGCTACATCCGATCGAATTCAGCCTACAAGCAGTGCTTCAAATTGGTGAAAATCGGTCCAGACATAGCTATAGCTTCCATATATATGTTTCATCCGATTTTGGTGTTTAGGTCCCTTACATTCGTTATATGCACTCCACAAGACTGATATTTAGCACCAGATGTCAGATACAGCCTAGCAATTCATAGATCAAATTTTATCAAGTTCGGTTCAGATTTGGATATAGCTCCCATATTCATCCGTTTCTTGTGCACAAATGCCTAATATGAGTCCAAATGTGTGAATTTTGGCACTTCTGACCGAATTTAGCATAGAAATAAATACTTTAAATTTGGTGGAAATCGGTTCAGATATAGCTATAGCTCTTATATTTATTTTCATCCAATTTTGGTGTTTAAAGGCATGTTTACGTTAGAGTTTTTTCAAGGATTAACCTTCTTTATGAAGATTTATTTGAGGTATAGGCAATGGAATTGACAATTTAAGCCGACTGGGTTTTCTAAATCCCTTACAACATAAACGTACTATAAGTCCCTTAAATTCGTAATATACACCCTATAAAAAATTTGGTACCAGATAAAAGATTCAGCCTAGCAATACATAATTCAAATCGGATCAAATTTGGATGTAGCTTCCCTATATATCTTCGCCCGATTTCAGGTCTATTTTGCACCAAAAGGCTAATATTAGTCCAAATGAGTTTTCGCACTTCAACCGAATTCAGCCTAGAAGCAAGAATTTCTAATTTGCTCCCAATATATGTTTCATCCGATTTGGTGTTTAAATCTTCAACTTTCGGGAACATGCACCCTACCATAATCATATTTTGTACCAGATACTCATAGAGCTCAGAAATGCCTCATATAACCTTTCTTTACGAGAGCTCTACTAAATATGCATAGTGTCGGCCCGACCGACTTTTGAGCTTTCCTTACTGGTTTTAATATATTATTTAATATTATGATGTATCAAATTGGAGCGAATTCGATACACCTTACGAGAGTTGTCGAACTCATTAGCCGTGTAACGTTGCTTTCTCGTTGGATGATGTATGCTCAGCTGTGCCCAGGGTCTCCTTTCATGGGATATAAATCAGATCTTTATTGATTTAAATGAAAAATTACAATTTTCTCGTGTTAAAAATCAGATAAAATGAATATGGAATAAAGGACGGCGAATTGACTCTGGAAGTGTTGGGGAATTCGAAGTATAATTGTTCAGTTGATGATCGAGAATTAGACGTTTATGATGTCTCGTTTACGTGCCACTTAAAGATGCAAGATAAGCTTATCTTCTTTTGAAAATACAAACTTTTCTTACAAATACTGTACCAACTAATCTAGTTTACCCAAACCATAATTTCAATGTAATTTAAACTCAAGCAAATTTTTAAAATTCTCAAATTCGTTTATTACACATTTAGAGTAAATTTAATAATATTAACAAGTAAAAAAACATTAAGTTCGGCCGGGCCAAACTTTAATACCCTCCACCCTAGGGTAAAAGAACATTAGAAAAAATGTGGCAAAAAACATTAAAATGCGAATATCGGGAGGTACCGTTATATAGGGGCTACCCCAACACGTGCACCTATAATTACAATGTTTCGCCACACGACCTAGGACCCATTATGACCCACAAATACCAACTTTTACACAAATCAGTGAAAAAATGTGGCATAAATCATCAAAATACCGAATATCGGGAGGTACCGTTATATGGGGACTATACTAGAACGTGGACCTATACATGCAATGTTTTGCTACACGCTCAGGGACCCGTTGTGACCTACAAATACCAATTTTCAGACAAATCCGTGAAAAAATGTGGCATAAATCATCAAAATACCGAATATCGGTAGGTACCGTTATATGGGGGCTATACCAAAACGTGGACCTATACATGCAATGTTTTGCCACACGCTCAGGAACCCGTCATGACCTACAAATACCAATTTTCAGACAAATCCGTGAAAAAATGTGGCATAAATCATCAAAATACCGAATATCGGTAGGTACCGTTATATGGGGGCTATACCAAACGTGGACCTATACATGCAATGTTTTGCCACACGCTCAGGGACCCGTCATGACCTACAAATACCAATTTTCAGATAAATCCGTGAAAAAATGTGGCATAAATCATCAAAATACCGAATATCGGGAGGTACCGTTATATGGGGACTATACCAGAACGTGGACCGATATATCTCATTTTCAATACCAACCATCCTAGGGACAATACACACACTTGTGCCAAATTTCAAAGGTCTACGTCAAATAATGTGGGCTCTATCGTGATTTCAACAGACAGACGGACAGACAGACAGACAGACAGACGGACAGACAGACAGACAGACGGACATCGCTAAATCGTCTTAGAATTTTAAGCTGATTATGAATATATACTTTATGGGGTCTACGACGAATATTTAGAGGTGTTACAAACGGAATGACAAAGTTAATATACCCTCCTACCCATGGTGGAGGGTATAATAATAATAAACAACACATTGAATAATATAAACATTATACTATACGAATAAATTCATTTGATTTTTGTCTTCTTCTCGTTTTCCGTTCTCTCTTTCTTTCATACGTTGTAAGTACAATTCACAATAAATAAAATTAAGTCATTCCTCGTATTTCAAAATCACACAAATTCCTAAGACCAGCTGCAATGCCTGGAATCGTTGGGGAGGGAGTCTTTTTTTAGTGCCACTCGAATAAGATATGGGAGACAAATAAATAACCGGTGATAATTGAAATTTGACCCAACATCATGGGGAAAACAATTCTGAAATAAATCAAAAATTTCCATGGCATTATCTGAAATGTAATCAAAAGGAAATCAATAATAATTACTTCAAGTATCTGGTAAATGAAATTTTATAGCCATGTTGCTCGGCAATGCCAGCGGATAGTACATTGGCTGAAGCTCCATAGAGAGTGCCATTGCCTGGAATGAAAAAGCAAACGTAGAAATGAAAAAAATAAATTACAGGTATACACTTTCATGTGTGGAAAATCTTCTTTCGAATAACCTTTCACAAGTGGTGGTGGCATCACTTATGTGTCCACTTGTAAGAGGTTTCGCTCTATTAATCTTTGGGTCACATTTATGTCAAAGAACATTTCTAATAACTAATTTCATCTTTTGGGACAATAATATGAAATAGTTGTACTCACCGCCCAAGCATGGACCAAAAGCCAATGCCCACACCAACGGCTCCAATGGCAGCCCCAATGTCTCCTTAGCTACCAATGATACCACCACTTTAACCATCATTGCCGTTACCGGTATGCTGTCCAAAATTGCCGATGCCAATGCGGACATCCATAAAATGATAAATATGGCCATGGCCAGACGATTCTTTTTGTCCACATACAAAATGACATGCTCGGTAACTTCGCCAATCCAAGCGAAAAGTCCCAACCGCTCAACACATTCCATCATTACAAACATGGCGGCAAAGAAGAGCAACGTTGTCCACTCGATTGCGATGCATTAAATGTTCCATGTCCTCTCGATTGAGTATAATCAGAAGAGCAATTACACCCAGTAGAGCCACCCAGCCCAGGGGTAGGGTGCGCCACTGTGGCACAGATTGAATGAAGAAACATATAATGACGAAAACCAGGGCGCAGCACGCCTGAGCCAGTAAAAGTTTATTTTTAATGGGATACTGGAAGAAAGAAATAAAAATGATGGAGGTGAGGGCGTGAGAGTTAAATGTAAATATAATATATTTAAAAGGACGATATAATGTTTGCCAACAATTTCGTATAAATGTGAATAGATAAATACCCATGATAGTAAAATGTCCTTTATGGGGATAGAAGGTATTATTAGAAGTATAAAAAATCCAGAAGAAGTTATTCGGCATAGGTCAAACTTCAATACATTCACAAACTCTCGTTTACATCAAAGAATTTCAGTTCATTTTATAGGTCTAACTGAGCCTTGTCGAAGTAAAAATTATGGATCCTAAGTCTCCTTGTCATACGTCGAGTTCGAAGAAGGCCATGGTAGGCCCACGACTTCTGGAACTTCACCACAAAAAATCAAAATTTTTTAAAAAAAATTATCTTATGGATTGCCAGTATGTAAAAGTCAAAACACGAGCGTGGCCGACTATAAGATACCCTACACCACTATGCATATTTAGTAGAGCTCCCGTAACAAAAGAATTTATTTGAAGTAGATCATACCACCTATCAACATTCGGCTTTAGAGTAGTTGTAATTTGGTTTCAGAGGGAACTAATATATGGGAGCCATATCCAATTCTGAATCGATTTTCTCTAAATTTGACGGAGACATTTTTATCCTGTACCAGTAACATGGCTATAGAGTACATGATATCACTTCAAGAAGGATTATATTAAAAAAATATATATCGGAGCCGAGTTCCGCCAATTGGAAACGTACGTCCCGAAATAGCTATATATAACCGTTATATAGCTATATCTGAATCGATTTTCACCAAATTTAATGTCTAGACTGAATTCGGTCGGATATGCCAAAATACAGGTCATTTGGACTACACAATAAACCAAATATCGAACAAAGATACATATGGGCGACATATGCTGATCTGAACCGATCTTGATAAAATTTGGCATACGTGTTTTCGAGCAGTATCTGATGTCCGGTACCAAATATCATTCTTGTGGAGTGCATATTACGCATGTGAGGGACTTAAAACCCCAAATCGGATGAAACATATATATGGGAGCTATAGCTAAATTTTCTCCAATTTGATGTACTTGCTTCTAGACTGAATGCAGTCGGGACATTTGGACTGAAATTGGCCGAACTTCTTATTGGCGAAATATACGTGCCGTAGCTGACATTATAATGAATTAGAGGCAGTCGTATAATGTTGTGGTAGCTAGACCAATATCCTAACCATTGTAGACGACCCGAACGAGTTCTCCGACTCATCTTAGAAAGCCTGAGCATCTGCTCTCAAATATTTCTACTGTGATCTGCCGTTACCGAACTGTTATACCGGGAGTTTCCGATCGGTATCAGAAGAGCTGGACAGCAATATCGTGAACCCTGATTATCTTCCAGCTGTCAGCCCCGACCATTAATTATCGACAATTCGACAATTTCCTAACTCCGACATTAATACAAACACTAACATCATATTTCCTTATTTTCACACTGGTCAATATTCGAAGACTACCCTCAAACTTTTCGTTTACCTTCAAATCGTGTACATACTTGATGGTGTATTAAAGCCTTGGGCACGCAAACATTTTGGCCGCAGACAGTGCACATTGCAACAGGACTCAGCACCATCGCACTTAGCACGCGTCACCCAAGATTGGTTACAAAATGAGGTTCGTCGCTTCATTTCCAGCGCACAATGACCACCAAAATCTCCGGATATTAATCCGTTGGACTATTGTGTCTGGAGTATTTTGGAAAGCAAGGTTGCCACTAAAAATACCAAAGTGTTGAAGCAAGCGCTTCGTCGGGAATGGGCCAAAATACCGCAGAGCAACATTCGGGCAGCGTGTGACGGTTTCATTGGCCTTTTGAAGATCATAATTCGTGCCAAAGGTGAAAAAATCGATCAAATCTAACTTATTCTTAAATGTGAAGCTATTTCCGAAATTTTTTTTTTTCATTCAATAAAATTAAAAAAGAAAGTAAAAATGATGGTGTTGACTTTGTTGCAATTTTTTTATGTCACCCTGTAGATTGTAAATTAGTATTTGAATCAAGGAAACGTCCGATTTCTTTTCATTCATAAAGATTCATTTTCTAAGATTTTTTCTGTAATTTTGTAAGAGTTTAATTTTATCGCACAGTTTTATCGAACATATACTCTGGAGATGTCCCGGCTATCGACTAAGAGTCAACCACACTAAAATACCTCCAGCGGCCTTCCATTTATAGAAGACATTAGAAGGGGTTTCTAAGTACCGATGGGCTCCATAAACTGGGGAGAATTTAATATATAGTAAAAGATCTGCAAATAGTCTTCTTCAGCGGTCAATTAAAACCTTAAATAATTATATCTTCATGTATAGAGGTACTCAAATTGGGCTTCTTTGTATAATATGCCTCCAAAAAGTGCTATGTCTCTCACGTAAAAATAAAGATTAAAGTTCCGCCACTTACCTTAACTTTCAAATCTTCCAACGTGTGGACATAGGCTTCGGTTGTGTCCAAACCATTCAATTTCCTCTTTAGCTGATGTTTCAAAATACGAACTTTCTTGAGCAAAGTTTCCCTTACCACATCAGCATCCTTGGAAAAGGAAGATATCGATTTGGCTGCCTTATGCCAGACACGAATTTCACGACGCAAGTCTTTTATTTCCTTCGGTTCATTCAAACGCAACGAATCGATGTTGCGGAATATCAAACGTAGATAAATGCAACTTTGAAGGACGGTTAAGATGACACCGGGTATGGTGTGACCAACAAATTTCATAAAGGTTACACCCTAATAAATTAATGAAAAAATATTAAATTAATATATGTTTACCCCTCCATCCCCCTATCTTACATTTGAGGCAATAAAATTATTCGAGCATATAATGATACTAATTGGATCTCCAATGGGTGTCAATGACCCACCAATATTGGCATGGACAATAATACCCAATAACACTGGCACCGGATCCAAACTCATTACTTCACACAGACGTATGGCAACGGGGGTCAATAGAATCACCGTTGTCATGTTGTCCAAAAAACTCGAAACAAAACATGTCATCAGACACAGGCTATAAATCATGGGCCACACTTTGCCTTGGGACACCTCAAATGCCACCACTGCAATGTAATCGAAAACTCCAGTCTCCGTTAGGATGCCAACTAAAATCATCATGCAGAAGAGCAGCGTCAGCAATTCCATGTCCATGTATTTGACAATTTCTTCCATGTTGGGGCGATCATTGAAACAGGCCAACACAGCTATCGACAACGTCGAACAGACAATGGCCACAAAGGTGCGTTCAAAGACCTAATGAGAAAGAAAATCATTAATAACATAGAATTCAATTTCCTTTTCATTATCAACCGACACCTACGCCTGTGGCACACTACTCACCTCCCACACCAGCAACGAATAGAACAGCAAAAGTATGGCGGCAGCCATCAATGTTCCCGTCTTGACGTTTATTATCAAAGGATTGTATGTCATTTTGATGGCTATATCCGTTTCAATATTGGTAGTCATCTGCAGGCGTACCTGGGTATCGTCCTCTCCAATTTCATCCAGCAAATCATCAGGTAATTTAAAGGTCAAATTACGTGAAACCACTGGCGCATAATCGAACAAGTCTTCGTTCACCAATGGTATAAACCATGGGTGTAATATGTCCTGTAAATAAATGGAGAGATAAATAAACTAATGAACACCTTCTGTTCGGAATTTACGTTTCCATACAAAAGATAAAAATATGAAGACTATGGACTTAACAATAGAGAATATAAACAGCATCATCGTTTTGAGTTTGAACGTTTTCACAAAATTCAAATCGTATATTTTTAATTTCTTTAATTGTCAAATTTGTTGGAAATGTTTTTATACCCTACAACACTATGTGTTGGGGGTATTATAAGTTTGATTGGGCCAGAATTTATGTAACACCTCGAAATATTGGTTTCCCATATAGGAAAGTATATATGGATCTTCCTAGCTCGCCGAGCTGAGTCGATCTAGCTATATATGTCCGTCCGTCCGTCTGTCCGTCTGTCCATGTTAATTTGTAATCACTCTACAGGTCGCAATTATGGCCCGATCTTCACGAAATTTAGAATGGAGGTGGGGTTAAGGTCAGAATAGAACCCTATTTCGTTTGGAGATGATCGCATAATATTTAGGGGTTGAAATGTACCAAATTCTGTAAAAATGTCGGATTTTGCAGTAGCTATACAGGTCGCAATTATAGACCAATCGACGCGGAGTTTCACATGTAGCTAGAGTTTAGGGCGGGGAAAAAGCCTACCAATTTGGGTGGTCATCGGATAATATTTAGCGGGTAAAATAGAAAATATCTTTTTTGTTGAAAAAATTCAACATTTTTCATTAAACCGCGAATATTTTAAATCCCGGAGAAATCACAAAGCCATGACAAGGTTACTTCTGATCTTTACATTGATGTTAACATCCAACAAAACGGATATATAGCGATATATATCTGTCTATCAAAGAAGATATGCTTGAAAGATCTCATATATGTCGAGAACGGCTGAACTGATTTCGACGGTTCTCATTAATTCAGAATGGCCTCTTGGCAGGAAAAAAAAAAAACTTCTAAAAAATTGCATAAAAATATCTCTCTCATATTTTTTCAATTTTGTCATATTTTCATTTTGAATTAAACATTTGGTAATATTTCTACAGCTAACAAAACTAAGTAGTTAGGATATCAGGATATCATATACAGATCGCATTATGGACCGATCCTTACGAAATTTTGCATGGGGATAAGATGAGGGTCAGAATAGAAGTCTACTCTTTTTGGAGATGATCGCCATATATTTTGGGTTGAAATGGACCAAAACTGCAAAATTGTCAGCAGGTCGTAATTATCGCCCGGTCCTCACGCACATTTGAATGGGGGTTACCGGTCATTGCAAAAGCCAAGCAGTTTTGGATGGCCATCAAAATATATTCAATGTGTGAAGGAGTTTGCCAACTTTTGTAGACAAAATACGAAAATGTCCATTCCAGTGACTTTTTGGAGAATTCACAAATACAGGAAAGACGCACTTCTGACTATTTCGTTAACGCTGATTTTGTTGAAGAATATAGTCAAATGTCTGTATCTCATATAGATGCGTTTCAGTCAAAAACCAATAATAAATGTTAATCTTTTGCCACTTCTGAGAGATTATAGGTCTTTGGGAAATATTGGTTCCAGATCTAGGAAGACCATTTAAGTGCAACATCTACCAATAATTTGGAAATGAGCAAATTAGTTTAAGTTGCTATTATTCGAAAATTAGAGAACGAAACCTGATGGTTTTCTTTTATTATTTGCAACAATATCTTGTGGAATTCTTTCGAGTATCTCGCCTATATAAACTGTATGGTTTATTATAGTGTTGTTGGGTATTCAACGGTCGGCCGCGCTCGACTGTAGCCTTTGCTTACTTGTTTAATATTTTTTTTTAAATTCTGAACATTGTTAAAGCAATTTCCAGAGTACCAAAAAAGAGAGAGAGTTGTAGTCCCGGGTTTGAAAATACATATTTATGGATTTTTTAGAAAGAATTCTCAGAGGTGTAGACGCTGATTTTTAAAATAATAAATTTTGGGATTCTTTAAGAAATATTTTTAATACACTTTGTAGATGTGAACCTGTAGGAGAACATAAAAGAGTAGTGAAATAACTAACTGACCGAGAATTAACGCCCAGACGAAACGGCTGCAACTAGAATCTCGAAATTTTGCACGACTGCCAGTCTTGGTGCGTGGGCATGTAATAAGGAAGATGGGCATGGAAATTCGTACTAAAAGGGTATTAAGAATAAGCTACCTTTGGAATGAGCGTCACTAATAGATGCATCACTGGATTGTCTGGGTCTCTGTTGGTGGTAGGTTTGTGATGTAGAAAATATGTACTAGACGAAAGGTACTAAATAGTACTATATTTGGTACAATATGGTATTGCGTGAATAGACAGTGATTCAGATCTGAAATTTGGTGTTAGGGTCGCTGTTTATGTGTAGGCTCGACATATGGAGGTGATTTCGGAAATGTGTACTATAATTGTACGAAAAGTACTGAATGATGCTATATTTGGTATTGGGTAAAGGGATCGAGATAAAATTCTGAAATGTGATATTAAAATTACTGATACCATGTTTGAGATTTGGCGGTGGTTTGGAAATGCGTTCATTATTTGTACGAAAAGTACTAAATGGTACTTAATTTGGTATTAGGTTAAGGAATAGACCTTAAAACATGATATTTTATATTGCGTTAACTGTTGTTGTCTAAAATTGAGTTGTGGAACCGCTTTTGCAAATGAATACTAATATTACACGAAAAGTACTAAATGGCACTTAATTTGGTATTGGGTGAAGTGATAGGGCTCAAATTTGATATTGAAATGACTGTTGATATCTAGAATTGAGATATGGAAATGATTTTCGAAATGTGTACTATGAATGTACGAAGAGTACTTAATATGGTATTGGGTGAAGGAATAGACTTGAAATCCTAAAATTTGAAATTGAGGTCACTGTTGGTTTCTAAAAAAAATTGTTTCAACGTGTGCATATGTAAACCCGTATATGTCGAAACAGTTTGGGACAGAAAAATTGAATGTGGGTCCATTTTGCAATGGTTTTATTAATATCCTCCTAGGTAAATGAATGATATTGCAGACTTTTTTGTGTAAAATGTAAACATTTTCCCATGAATAGTATATAAAACCTTGAAGGTCTTAAAATTTGGAACGATGAATGAAGATTTGATTTAAAAATGTTGCCAAATTGAACAGATTATGCATTTTGAGTACTACAAGTAAAACAGCAGTTAAGTTCGAATCTAATTCAGGACATTTGGAATTGATCTAGTGATGTCCGTCCGTCCGTCTGTCTGGCTGGCTGGCTGGTGCGCACGATAACTTTCGAAGGGAGAATCCGATGTGGTCCAAACTTGGTATATGGTAATATTTTCATCAAACTTAGATCGAGTTCGGAGATGGGCAATATTGGTCCACTCCTTCTGGTATCACATCCGAACATCGAAATTTCCAAAAAAAAAATATATATATTTACTGCACATAAAGAGAAAGGATTATCCTATTTTGCTCGAAAATTTGCAAATATTAATATTTGCATCAGTGCGAGGTCATCTGTGTAAATGCACAATATCGGTCCGCTCCATCAGGTACCTCCCCCACAAAGGCTCCAAATTTTGAATAGTTACAACTCTTATAAAATGTGATTTAAAAGTCCGATTTTCTTCAAATTTCACACATCCTAATAATTTTATTAAGGTCAGGTGCAAAAATGGACAATGTCGTCCCACTCCATCAAGTACCTCCTCACAAGGGTCAAATTTTGAATAATTTTAACTCGTATAAAATTTGATGTAAGAGTCCGATTGTCTTCAAATTGCACACATTACAATACGTTATTAACCCAAGGTCTGGTGTGAAGATGGAATACATCGGTCCACTCCTTCTGGTACCTCCCCCATAAAAGGGTCAACATTTTCAATACCAATGAAGCTCAAAAATGCGAAATTAACATCCAATTCCATTCAGACTTGGCACATCTCAATATTTCTATCAACACAAGATATGTTATAAAGATCGAACCATTCTTTCTGGAACCTCGCACACAAAGGGTCAATGTTTTGAAAAACCAAAACGTTTATAAAGTCCGAAATCGGCATACGATTATCTTTATAGTCCAGTCATCCCATTATTTCTACTAACACAAGATCTGTTGTGTTGATGGAATATATCGGTCCACTCCTTCTGACACCTCACTCACAAAGGGTCAAAATTTTGAGTATTCATGAAGCGCATAAATCGCGAAATTATCATCCGATTCTATTGATCTGTTAGAAAGATGGTAGAGATCGGGCCAATTCCTCTGATAGGGTCAAGATTTGAAAAACAAAACGCTCATCCAACTGTCTTCAAATTTCACACATACAAACATTTTTACTTCATCTGTTGTGTAGATGGTATATATTCTGGTACCTCACCCACAATTTTTAATGCTTTAACACTTTACTTCAAACTTTATCTAAATATTTCTCTCAACCTGAAACTTGTAATGAATATAGAATTTATAATTTCATATAAAATTGGATAAAAATGTTATATTTTCGTGTATATTTAGGTCCGATTTCATATTTATTTAGGTCCGAAGCGAAATGGACAATACTGGTCCATTCCTTCGGAACCAATTCCATAGAGGGTCAGCTCTTTGAATAATCAAAACAGAAGTCAAGATATTTTTAAGTAATCGAACATTGCCATCTGTCGGCAAAACCGACTGATACTTTTGTACTTGTTAGATATTTAAGGTAGGACCCTCAGAGAAATACATAATAAAGGCTCTAGGTAAAATAATGGTTAATGGTTTCTAGCAATATTTAAAGGAATCTTAGCGAAAAAGTTGTTTACTTTTTTAAGGATTTTTTTTTTAATATTTTCAATATTAAATATTTATTAAATATATTTTCAATATTAATATTTTCAATATTAAAATCAAAATCGTGGCAGCAGATATGCTGGTAATTTGGGAACAATTTCAATTTAAATCAATCGTGTGTATTTTCAAGGTTAATTAAAATTTTTATTTAAATCATATCACTTGCAACGCCTTACCTTAAAATCACTCAAATTCGTTTCATTGTCAAAATACGATATCTGCGGTTGGATTGTTAAAATATTTTCGGTTTCATTTGAATTGTAAATTGATTCATTGAAATGTCCTGCAATGGTCAGTTTAAAATCTCCGGTGGGTTTGTTAAGTAACAGGAAGTCTGTAGCAATAAAAAAAAATATAATTATTCTGTTTCAGCCACTCAAAAAAGTCCTTAACCACTTACTCTTCTCCCTGTTGGCAGGCACTTCTAAGGTCTTCTCAAGCAAATGTTTCTCTTCGAAAACCATAAAAACAATTGCCGAAAATAACCAAAATATCATTAGACCAACACGTTTGGTCAACTTGATGCGGTGACGTCGTTTCTTTATCCTTTCTTTGGCCTCGACTTTGTCCATGCACTGTAGTGTGGGGTTTTTCTGATAATCATGATCCGAATGGCCTTCATCATCGGTGCTGTAGACAAGGAAAAACATTTAATATACCCTACAAAATTGTATATATTCGTCACTATAATGGTACCTTTTCCGATCACTCTCAGGTCCTTTTTTCATGTGTATGAAGTCGGAACAGGCGAAACTGCGATCATCATCGGGACTGGATTCAACATCATTGGAGGCTTCATCGGTGGGAACAGAGCTACCTGGAATTTGTAAAGTAGAAATTTAAAAAATTAGATTTGCCCAACCTTGGAATGTTGAATAAATATATGGCCAAAATGTGCCTCATCGGAATAACGGTTTCAGGACATTTGGAGTCAATCTAAAATCTAGATTTTAATTTTTCTATTAAACTTAGATAGAGTTCGGAGATGGGCAAAATCGGTCCACACCTTTTGGTACCTTCTACACAAAATTTCAACACATTCAATGTCTCAATAATTGAATCCGCCTTAGGTTAGAGAAGAACATGAACGGAACGGTTCTGGTATCTCCCCACAAGAGCTGAAAACTCGCAGATTAGATTTCATATACATTTCCCATATAGTGCCTGATATATTCCAAACTTGCAAGATAAACTATATCGGGCTAAAGCGACTTGCGAGAATAGAAAATATTGGAAAACCCTTCCGATCTTTCCCAAAAATGTGTCAAACTTTTTGAATAAAAATAAAGTGATATTCTCCAAATTTTGAGAAGTTTAGTTACATTTAGTACGCATATCCAAAACAATCTACATCTACCCATTCTAGACAACAATAGTGGTCTAAAATTAGAACCATTTACTAATTTTCGAACTATTATAGTACTCATTTGCAAAACCCCCACCAGATACCAACAGAGACCTCAATATCAAATTTCGGAATCCCAGTTCTATACATTCACTCAATATGAAATTTAGTAACATTTATTAATATATAAATATCATTTTAGTACTCATTTGCAAAACCGTTCCATATCTCAATCCTGTTATATTTATCGCAATATAAAATTTCACGATTTCAGTTCTATTCGTCCACCCAATGCCAATTTAGTACTTTACGAACAACTATAGTACGCATTTCCAAGCCACCGCCAAACTTCAAACACAAATACTGTCAGTAATCTAAATATCAAATTTCTGAATTCTATCTCTATCCCTTCACCCAATACCCAATGTATGTACTACCAAATTTCAGGATTCCAACCTTACCAGTTCACCAAAAATTTAATTTGTACTAAATCTAGTACCCTTTACCGCCATCCGTTCCTCCAATTTCAAATTTTACTAAATTAATAACGTTTAGTACTTTTCGTATACTTCCAAAACTACCTGCTTACATTGATATATATAGTATGGAGGGTATATTAAGTTCGTCATTGCGTTTGTAACTCATCGAAATAATAACTTTAGACATAACAAAGTGTACAGGGTGAGACAAAAAAACTGCAAGCCACTCGTCCGACAGCTGTTAAAAGCTGTTATCCCAGTGACAGCTCATTATATTGTTTACAAGCGTACAAAAGCATTTTGGTGAGAATTTTCCAGAAAAGGAGTTATTCGTGATGGAATTCAAGCGTGATAGTGTGATTTCTCTATATTTGGCAAGTGGCTATCGTTAGAGCACTCTAGCATTTAAATGTAAATAAATCTTTCGTGTCTCGTAGGAAGAAAACAGCAACATCAGCAGAAATGGTTCGTCGCAGTGGCCGAAAAATGGCTCGTGAGCTGAACGTATCGCAATATTCCATTCGACAAATATTGAAAAATGAGCTCAGGGTAAAGCCATTGAAATTCAAAAAAGTGCAAGAACTTACACCGCAATAGAAAGAAAAGAGACTCAAAAGAGCTAAAGAGTTGCTCCGCTTGGCCGAAAGTGTTGAGCTGCCAAATTTGGTTTTCCTCCGATGAGAAAACATTCGTTGTCCAGCAGTTTGTAAACAAACAAAATTATCGTGTTTACTTGCCAAAGAGGTCAGCTGAAAATGTGCACCTTCGGTTGGCCACCAGAACTCAAGCGCTGGCCATGGTGTGAGCCGCCATAACAGCCGATGGTCGCTCTCCGCTCGTATTAATCGACCGTGGCACAAAATAAATACCGAATATTATCGCGAAAATATTCTGGATAATGTATTAAAGCCTTGGGCAGCGTGTGACGATTTCATTGGCCGTTTGAAGGCCATAATTCATGTCAAAGGTGAACAATTCGAACAAATCTAAACTTATTCTAAAATTTGATGCTATTTCTGACATTTATTAAATTAAATTAAAAAAAAAAATAAAAATTATGGCGTTTGACTTTGTTGCAGTTGTTTTATCTCACCCTGTATATATTCTTGATCAGAGTAAAATTCTAAGACGATTTAGTCCTGTCCGTCCGCCCGTTGGAAACACGCTAGATTCAAAACGAACTAAGATAGGATGCTAAAATTTTGCACAGATCAGTCTTTTGTGTCCAAGCAGGTCAAGTTCGAAGATAAACTACATCGGTCTACGTGTCGTATGGCCCCCATGTAACGATACCCCCCGATATTCGACATTTTGATGATTTTAGGCACATTTTTCTATGGAATTTTCTGAAAGTCCACAAAGTTGTTATTTGTGGGTACTCTGCCGCCTGTAAGAGAATTGTCTATGTATGTCCACGATAACGTATAGCCCCCATGATTTTCGGTATTTTGATGATTTTAGGCACATTTTTAAATGGAATTTTCTCAAAATACACATAAGGAGTCCCTTCTGAGTATTTTACCCCCTGGAAGGGAATTGTCTATATATGCCCACGATACCGTATATCCCCCATATTAAAGTATCTCCCGATATTCGGTAATTTGATGATTCTAGCCAATTTTTTCAATGGAATTATCTGAGAATCCACACCAAGAGTTGCTTCTGAGTACTTCACTCCCTGGAAGAGAATTGTCTATATAGGTCCACGATATCGCATGGCTCCCATATTCGGTATTTTGATGATTTTATTCACATTTTCCAACGAAATTGTCTGAAAGTGTACAGAAAGTGTTCTTTGTGGGTATTTTACCGACTGTAAGAGAGGTGTTTTACCGTCTGTAGTTGTCCACGATATCGTATATCCCCCATACAACGGTACCCCACCGATATTCGGTATTTTGATGATTTTAGCGACATTTTTGACCGGAATTGTGCTCATAATGAGTACTGCAACTTATGCAAGGAATTGTCTATGCAGGTCCACAGGCCCACATATAACGGCACCTCCCTTTATCCGGTTTTTTGATGATATAAGCAACATTAATCACCGGAATAGTTTCAAAATTGACGATATTAGTGGCATTATTCAACAGAATTGTTTCAAATTACGTATTTCAAATTTGGAATCGATACTATAGCCCATGACAAAAAACCCTTGAAAATGGTGGAGGGTATTAAAAGTTCGGCCCGGCCGAATTTCCAAAAACGCTTTGGTACATCTATCATGCACTCCATCTGTGATCCTTATTCTAAATTTAAAAGCTCTAGCTCTACTTCTTTCTCAAATACAAAGGGTACCATATTTATTTTAATACTTTTCGTACCGTTCTAGTACGAATTACCAAAAACCCAGTCTTATCTGACCCCTTCGGGCTAAGAGTGACCCCCACTTAAAAAGGTAATCAATCTGTTAATTATTTTACTATTTCATTAATATAGATAGTAAAAACAATAAGTGAATTTTATTAGGAACGTTTTTAAGACTTTAAGAATGGACTCAAAGATTTCCTGATAAATTTCGGATCATTATGATGCACGTCATTCAACTACCTGTTTACAGAAGTTTTGCGATTTATTTACTATTAGCTGTGATACACACCATGGTTTACACTGCCAGAGATTTTACACACATGGATCTGAAAACATATTTTCAAAATTTAATTATTTTCACACAACAAAAAAAACCGCCATACATCACTTGTAATATATGGAAGTATTTTTTTAAAACTATTCTCGTTACATTGTTATAACGGGTATTGTTTTCTCATCTCTTTTTTGTTGATTTTCTAATTTACATTTTCATGACTTTCATGGAAAAAACATTTCATACAAAAATAGCCATAAATTAAAAAAATGTTTTCAGAGAACACCAATAGCCATTAAATGTGATCTTTCAATTTTGTAGCGACAGCTAAGGTTTTCAGAGGTATTTCGAGGCATTCAATGTGAAACCTAAACTTCATTTCAAATGCGAATTTTTAAGCGACGACTGTTGTAATGCCAACACTGATTATCGTCAAATTGTTTATTGAAACATCTCTCACACAATTATCTGTTTATGATATCAAATAATAGCTGCACAATGACGATCTTATTAATTGAACAATAAATACGTCATCAAAAAACGTTAATTGTTACAACGTTGTGATACGGGTCTTCTGTAGTTTAATCGTTGTAACAATTAGAAATTGAGTAACTTAGGTTTGAACGATTAACGAATAACACTGTAAAAGGTAGCAATCGGTTTGCCGATAGGTGCATGCCACTTTACCCCTTCATGGTTTCGAATTATATAAAGCAATCACAAAATAATATTACAAAATAAAACTATGTAAAACCAAAATAATAAAGATAGGAAGCTAAAATGTTGCACATTTGTCTGTAGGCAGGTCAAATTTTAAGATGGCTATATCGGTCCACGATATCGTATAGCCCCCATATAACGGTACCACCTAATATTAGGTATTTTGATGATTTTAGCCACATTTATCAATGAAATGGTCTGAAAATCCACAAAAGGTGATAGTACCGGAAGAGAAATATCTATATAGGTCCACACACAACGGTGCCCCTCGATATTTGATATTTTGAAGATTTCAGGGACATTATTCACCGGAGTTGTTTCATATTTTGGTTTTAGGGTTCGTAATGGGTACTACAATCTATGACAAAAAATTGTATATGCAGGTCCAGGTCTTCGTATAGCCCCCATATATCAGTGTCTGCTTATATTCTATATTTTTAGATTTTAGGTGCAATATTCACCGAACTTATTTGAAATTTCATATTTGAAGTTCCTAATAGGTCTACAGGCTGTAACAGGAAATTGTCTATGCAGGTCCAAGTCTTCGTATAGCCCCCAATATAACGGCTATATTCGGTATTTTTAAGATTTTAACAGAATTTTTAACGAATTTTTTTTTTTTTTTTTTTTTGAAAATTTCCAAATTCCTTCCAAATTGTGGAGGGTATTCAAAGTAAGATTACGATTTT